CAGCAAAGATTCATTTCAAAATGGATGAAAATAAAATAACATTGAAACAAATTGTAATTATGTTTATGTTAAATCCAGTTAAAAATGTCAAAAATATTTGTAAAAGTATTTATTTATTTATTTATTTATTATTTTGTTGTATTTTGTGAAGCCATAATTTTGATCTATTTGTATCTGTAGATTTTTTATTATACTTATACATTTTATGTTAATAAATGAGGTGCACAGTAATTGAAAAATGAAAATGCACAAAATAATATTGTCCTCACTTTTTTAAATGATTCATAGCTTAGATTCAAATTATATTTTGACCACTGTACTTAAGAAATCTGGAGTTCGCACTAAACCACAAACATATGCTGCTTTCAGAATAGATTAAGGCATCCTAGTTGACATGTTGTTACACAAATGCTGGACGTTCTTTACTCCCTTACGTAAAGGCTGTGGTTTTGTATTTCTGGACACAGCAATTGTCTTTCGTGCTATCCACCATTGATTTAAACTAGTATAATATAAGCAGGCTTTCATAAATCACCAGCTGTGACAATAATCTTTTCAACACTGCATCCTCTGAGCTTTGTAGAACTGCGTGACTACACATTTAAAGAGTCGCTAATAAGTCAGATGATCAATGAGCTTAATTACCAGTCAAATCCAGGACAGTGTCAGAAAAGTGTCTGAAAAGCATTTCAAATTCATTCGTATCGTAAATTGCTCAAGAAAAGAAAATTTGGGGCATCAGTCATTTACTGGCTGTGTTTGATTTAAATAGCAGTCCTTAGTCTTTTAATCTGGGTACACAGAAAAACAACCGCTTTTGCAGTTAAACTTCCCAGGTAGCAAAGAGTTCCAGATTTGGAATAAAGCTGGCAAAACAGGCATTTGCCTAGCACTGGCATACAGCTTGTGGGCCAAAATGGCCCAGGTTTGGCAGAGGTGGCACCGTCTTTAAGGCAGCACACAAGACTTGGGCCAGATCAAGTGTAGTATTTGGGCCAGATGTTAAAAATTTATATGTGGGCCTCGTATGTTTGGCCTATCTTGACCTACTTTTAAAATACATTAAAAAAAATTTAAAAAGAAAGAAATTCTACCAATCAGGTCACTTTGAGAAAAAGTGCGACCATAAAACAAATTACTTTGTGGGTAAGTCAAATTCATTGCAGTTGAATGACACATTAACATATCTGGCTCAGTTTAGACCCAGATTTTAGTTAGTAACTTGGCTGAGACTTGGCCGAGATATGGCCCATGTTTGGCCCTTCTATGGAAGCCAGGCTCTGTCCAATCATGTACTGCAGTTCACTGCGGCATGTAGGCCAAGCAAAAGCTGATTGTGTGGGCCAGATTTGGCCCAGAGAAATTTTGCTATGTTTTTTTTTTTGTCTGCATCACATTTATTAAACATTGAAAAAAACTCACATTCTCTTAACCAGTGGTTCTCAAACTTTTCACCAAGTACCACCTCAGAAAAAAATTGTCTCTCCAAGTACCACCATAATAACCAGTATTGAAATACAAAGTATCGTATTAGGCTTAATTAAGCAGCTACAGCTCTGCACAGTTCAAAAAACATACAGATTATATTAATTGCTATTGTTATGAATATTTATTATTGTCAGCCACTTTTAACATTATTAATAGTTTGAACATTAACTAAAACATTAAAAATAAATAAATCATCAACGTGTGCTTTTGAAAGTTAATTAAAAATGGCATTGTTCTTAAAGTAAACAGAAAACTGCTGTGCTTAAATGTAAAGTATTGACATATGTTAGCCTACTCATCAAAACCTGGAAATGTTCCTTGGACCTCATAAATTTTATCATATTCACATATAAACTCTTTTTGATAAATTTTGAAATATATGGTACATGTTATATATGACTTATTTGTATATCTTTAAAATCTAAACATTAACTTGTATTTTAAATTAATGATTTGTATTTACATATTTAAATTAGAAATTAGATCTGCATAGTGCGCGTTAGAGTAGGCTTTGTGTGTCAGAAAAGGGATGAAACTTAGCTGTCAATATTGGGATAAAAAAATATGGGATACGCCCCCAACAACCATTACAAATATGGGAAGGAAATTAGCTACAAATGATAGAATACATTAAATAATTCATTCATTCATTCATCTTCTGCCGCTTTTCCGGGGCTGGGTCGCGGGGGCAGCAGTCTTAGGAGAGAACCCCAGACTTTCCTATACCCAGACACTTCACCCAGCTCCTCCGGGGGGATCCCGAGGCGTTCCCAGGCCAGCCGAGAGACATAGTCCCTCCAGCATGTCTTGGGTCTTCCCCGAGGCCGCCTCCCGGAGCGACATGCCTGGAACACCTCCCTAGGTAGGCGTCCAGGAGGCATCCAAAACAGATGCCTGAGCCACCTCAGCTGACTTCTCTCGATGTGGAGGAGCAGCGGCTCTACTCCGAGCTCCTCCCGGGTGTCAGAGCTCCTCACCCTATCTATAAGAGTGCGCCCTGCCACCCGTCGAAGGAAACTCATTTCGGCCACTTGTATCCGAGATCTTGTCCTTTCGGTCATGATCCAAAGCTCATGACCATAGGTGAGAGTAGGAACGTAGATTGACCGGTAAATCGAGAGCTTTGCCTTTAGGCTAAGACAGAATACATAACAAACATTAAAAAATTGAAAATAAAATAAAAGGTTTCGCCTATTAAAATCAATTTACTGATCACATCTGTGTTATTGTATGCGTTAAAAGTGTGTTCAATTTTTTAGTTTAATTATACAGCGATTCCTCCACGTACCACTAAAAGGAAGTTTGCGTACCACTAGTTGTACACGTGCCACAGTTTGAGAACCACTGCTCTAAATGGTTGCATTTGAAGCATATTGGGCCTTTTGGCTGGCATGACAACTTTGCATAATGGAAAATCTAAACTGGAATATTTGGATGGGCAGCACAGTGGCTCAGTGGTTTAGCACTGTCACCTCACAGCAAAAAGGTCACTAGTTTGAGCCCTGGCTGGGTCAGTTGGCATTTCTGTGTGGAGTTTGCATGTTCTCCCTGTGTTTTGTGGGTTTCCTCCGGGTGCTCCGGTTTCCCCCACAGTCCAAAAACATGCGCTAAAGGTGAACTGAGTAAGCTAAATTGGCCATAGTGTATGCGTGTAAATGCAAGAGTTTTTGGGTATTTCCCAGTGTTGGGTTGTAGCTGTAAGCGCATCCGCTGCGTAAAAACATATGTTGGATAAATTGAAAGGAAAATAAATGTACTTCTTCTTTGTACAAAATATGTCAGAGATGCCATGTGGTGATAAACAGGAGATGAGCTAGAGCTGTTGCATCATCACTTCATCAGTTCATGACACTCTCCACCTCTCACCACAGCTGTCAAGATGCTCCCTGTCACTCATGTTAGCTGCTCTCCAAACCTGCAGTACTCCAGACTCTTAATGTTTTGACAAGGCCCCTCATTGCCAATCACAACATTCAAACTATCCTGTATCGACTGAGATGTGAAGGTTTTTTCTGCGGTTATATATAAAAGTAAGGGGACCAGTGTTGGGGAAAGTTACTTTAGAAAGTATTGGATTACAATATTGAGTTAATCCCTAAAAAAGTGACTAGTTGGGTTACTTGCAGGGCTTAGTTTGTGCAGGAACATGCCGGATCCGGCACCTCTACAATCTAATCTGGCACCTCATTTTACAGATCCCCCTCCTCAACCGCCCTCCTCCTCAGTCTGCTGTTCACTTTCACTTTGTTTTCGCGACTCCCCAACGCTCTTTACTTTCGTCCGCGACAACCAACACCCGCCCCGGCTCTTCATTTTCGTGCGCGACACCTCCCCATCCTCGGGAAGTATGTTGAATCTGTTACCCCGATCTGTTAAGCACTTAATTTGTGAATTAAATTAAGCACTGGTTACTTAGTTTCTTTTTATGATAAGTAATGTGTTACGATACTTTTGAGTTACTTTTGAGTTACTTTTTCTGACCTGTCTGAGGCTTTTTCAGAACTTGCAGGTTTTTTTTTGTCATTTTGTTTTTTAAAGAGGAGCTCTGAAATGAACAACACACATTGTATAACCTTCATTTACCTTTAAAAACACATAAAAAATAATTGTAGAATAATGTTATCTTCAGAGAACTTCCTGACCCCCGAGCTATACGTGCTGTATATAAAGATTAATGAAAGTTTAAATCAATGCGTTATACTATTTTATTGCCAGTTCGATGACTTATCGAGTCAGTAGTTTATAAATAAACTTTATAATTAAACTATCATAACGGCATAATTTTATTTACCTCATCTGTCAACATGATGCTGGTCAATTGCAGAGGTTATGCAAATTATTATTACTATGATCAGATGAGGCGACACGGTGGCGCAGTGGGTAGCACAATCACCTCACAGCAAGAAGGTCATTGGTTCGAGTCCCGGCTGGACCATTTGGCATTTCTGTGTGGAGTTTGCATGTTCTCGCATGGATAAGTTGTCGGTTCATTCTGCTGTGGTGACCCCTGGTGAATAAAGAAACTAAGCCGAAGAAGAATGAATGATTGAATGAGTAATATTATAAAAGTTGCTTGGATTGCTTTTTGGTGGCTGATTATGAATAGAAAAGACATATATTTATTGACAAAATAAAAACCTTAGGCATCCTATAAAGAATAGTTTATTTTAAATCACACACCCTGACAGATGTTTTCTTTTTTGGTAGGTGGTTTGACTTTAATCATAAGAATCATTCTTACTGATCTAAAACATTATTTATGTTTTAAATGTACAATAATGGCACGAGTATTAATGATTTACACAGCATAGTTTTGCACGTTTAACCCATTTGTAAAAGTTTTCAGGCCAGCAAAACAGGGTTGTTGTGTAAGTGAAGGGCCAAAATGCATAAAAAGTTTACTACCAGCTTTTTTTTTTAAAAATAAATAAGCTGAATTTGAATTGTTTTTATTTTCACACTAAGAATAACAAAACTGATAGGAGAAGAAAAACAACTGCAGAGTCTCTTACCTTTCTGTCTGCTGAAGCCATGGAGAAGCAAGGACAGATCAGCCTCTTTCTCTGTGCTCGAACTAACAATACTGCTTTTGCTTTTACTCTCCGTCTCCTGACTGGGCTGCTTCTCCGGAGTCACTGTAGACGTTCCCATTACTGCGGGCCTGGGTTTGGTGGACCAGCTGTCCTCTGGTTGTGGCTTGGGCTTCTCAATTGGTGCTGCTTTCTCCTTTTCCTTCTCCTTTTCTTTCTCCGGTTCTTTCTGAGCGCTGACGACTCTGGGCTCAGTGAATGGAGAGGAAGAGACGCTAGAGGTCGTGATGGGCTTTGAAGACATGTTGTCTGTGATCAGGGGGGAAGATGGTTCTGGTGGTTTTGGAGCAGAATATTCCTGCTCCCTCTTGGGACTTTCCTCCGAAGCTGATTCAATTAGCAGGTCGCTATCGAGCTCTGCCTCTCTTTCCTCTCTTAGCAGACTGTAAAGTGGTGGGTTACTGGACTGACCGAAGCCCATCTTGGAACCCGCAGAGAGATCAAATGGGTTACTAGCACTGACCTTGTTGGTTTGTGGCTTGTCAAATGGGTTACTAGCTTTATCAGTGGCAGATGTGTAACTGGGCGGCTCAAACGGGTTGCTTGTTGGACTGAATCCACCCTTTGCAGGCGGGGTCTTAGATGTCAGGTCATGTAATGGTGAATCTAATTCTTCAGCCACTTGTTCAATTTCTGAATCTCCAGACTCATCTCCACTGCCTTGAAGGTCTTGAGCCCATGGGGACGAGGGCTTGGCTGAGGTCTTGATATCGTGGATTGGAGGAGGGTTGGGATGAGAGCTGATACTGCTTGAATCTTGGGTGGAGCTCATAGATTTCATTCCTGCAGGGTGGAACAGCACATCAGATGGAGACTCTCGACCTGGAAAAAAAGGAGTTTGAGAAATGTATAAACTGTAAATATTTAAAAGGATCAACAATTTCATTTTTTTAATTAATTATACACGTCCTCATGTTGTTCCAAAGCACATTTGCTAGTATTAAGTTGACAAATTAAGATATTTCAGGTCAATTCTGAGAGCTCCCTCATCATTCATAGACAGCAAGTTTCCCGTCTCATTTAAAGTCTAGATAGGTTCCAAAAAACATCTTCAAAACAGACCATATGCCTTCAGATGTTAAACTGAATACTATCAAGATATTAGCCTCTTTCACATATACAGATCTTTCCAGAAAATTACCGGCAATTTTCCAGAAAGATCTGCATGTGTGAACAGGACCTTTTTGAAAAAAACAGTAAATTTGTTCCGGCAATTTTCTGGAAAGAGAAGTCGTAACTTTACCGATAATTTGCCAGAATGGATGTCTCTGGGATAAGCTGCATGAATGCTAAAGCTTTAAATAGAAGTGAAATCATCAAGCTGGATCCCTATTACGTTTACATATACAAGCGCAGCCATTTTGAGCTCATCTCTGGTAAATGATGTCAAAATTTACCGGTATTTTGGAATGGATGTGTGAATGATCTTTTCTGGAAAAACGGCGCTTTTTTTAATTAACCGGTAAATTAATTCCGGTAATTTTCAGGATATTTACAGGTATCACTGTGTGAAAGGGGCTATTGTTCGCACATAAAGTAAAGTTTATTTATAAAGTAATTTCGAGAGTATCACATGCTTATGATTGCTTGCAGCTGGTCCCACATTATTTTATTTATGATTCACCCATCAGACAATTCCTAAGCCACTATAAATACCCTAAGTTTCATATGACAACCATCTACTTTTTGAAGAATCCCCCTTTCCACCCCTACTCCTCTACCTTTCCTAGATGGGTGGCAAGGTTGCCCAGTGGTTAGCACTGTTGCCTCACTGCAAGAACGTCACTGGTTCTAGTCCTTTCCTAGCCAACCTACGTTTCTGTGTGGAGTTTACACGTTCTCCCCCAGCAAACGTGGGTTTCCCTGGGCTCTCGAGATCTACCTGAGCTCAAACTCCCCTCTCGTCTTGTAAACAGGAGAGAGACCCTGGCTTGAGGATCTTATGAGCTCAGGGCTTTCTCCCGGGACAGCATGTCAAACAAGCTTTATAATCAATCATCAGCTAAGTGTGAACTTTTGAAACAAAAATAAAAATTTTTTACAACAGTTTCTTCTCCTCAGTGTCAGTATATTGTGCGTATGTGAGCGCTGTGCACTGATGTAACTTCAAGTGCCTTCAAATGCCTGCATGTGATTTCCTCTGTTTAAAACAAAGCACAGAGGTACATCAGAGGTGATATGTCAGAGGCACGGCCAAGCATGACATATATATGTGCACCCTATACTGACACTGATGAGAAGAAACAGTTATAAATGGAAAGAAAAAGATATAAATACAATTTAACCAGATGGTTTGACTAGGAAGCTCAGACATTTTTCTGGCGAGTCTAACAGTATTCGGAGTAAACAGAAATAATTAAATAAATAAATAAATAAATATATATATATATATATATATATATATATATATATATATATATATATATATATATATATATATATATATATATATATATATATATAAATAAAATATTCACAATAGAAAAAAAGAAATTTCTGCGCAGATTATTTTGCTTGTTAAGGAAAATCTCCACTTAATTTTGGATTTTTTTTTCTAAAAACAAGACAATATTTTTTGCTTGTCTAGATAATGCTTCTTCGTCTTGTTCCTAGTCCAAATATCTAAAAAAGAAAAGCATTTCGGCAATGCACAGTCACAGGCCTCAAAAACAGATGATAAACTTTCACTCTTTTGTGGTTAAACTTTGCAGTCTTTCTACAAATCACATGTTTGGTGGTTCCTGGTCAACTATACCTAAGACTCAAAACTGTATGTCCTGCGATGTGATTATCGAGTACACGTTGTGATAATGATGCTGAAGCAATATTTTCTGCAGCCCTAGTATAAAGTTGTAATTTCTGTTTCATGAGAACACAAAACTACTCTGATAGGTAAATAATATTCTGAATAAAACACTGAAGGCATATGGCCTTTTCTGGAATTATCTGGATTACCTTGTTATATGGAGGATAAGGTAGCTTTCAAGTTTCACCTAAAATATTATACCTTGTGTTCTAAAAGTAAAGAATAGTCTCAGGGGTTTTGAACAACATGAGAGTGTGTAATTAATTACAGAGCTTTAATTTTAAGGTAAACTAACACTTTAGAATCAATTATATGTTACAAAATTAGTCACAGTACTAACTTACTACAGTACTACAGTTTGCTGACAAAAATGCCAAAATAATAAATGATTAGAATGAATTAGATGCAAGACCATAACTTATCTACACTGCCTGGTTTATTTGTGTACTTCTACAAGCTGGAAACTATCGACTTCACCTTTAAATTAGAGGTTTGCTACTTTAATTGAACTGAATTCAGATGTTAAATAGAATGTGGATTATGAAAAGGCATTCTCATTTCAATTCATGATGGTGCGCAAGCAGGTGCATCACAGGTGGGCAGGATCTACCTGTAGGGGAGTGGTTAGGGGAGTGGTTAGCTGACGATGCTGCGCTGTCATCCTCTGGTTCTGACAGTGTTACCGTGGGAAGACCCTGCTGTCCAAAACTGAGCACGCTGTCTCTCTCAGACATGCCACCTTGTGGAGACACTCTCACTGGCTCACTCGCAGTGCTGTGGGACTCTGTTGTTACTGTGATCTTCACAGGACTGGCACTCTGCGGCGTTTCCATCCTGCGATATGACCGAAAATCTGCCATTTCTTCATCCGAAGGATCCTCCACATATGGAAATGCGTGCTGCCCACCGGCTGATCCCGTACTTGTCTTCACCTCCGTGTCTTCAGATCCGAGCGGACTCTTCTCCAAATAGCGACCCAGATCAAAGGGATCATGGCTGGATTCTTTACTTCCCCTTTCTTCAATCTTAGGCTTGAAATCCTGGATGTCATCTTCATCCTCATCATCATCTTCTTCATCTTCCTCATCTCCATATCCAGACATGGGAGGTTGCTGCTTGTTCTTAGCATTTCCCATGCTCCCGAAATCACAGAGGTCACCCCCCATGTCCATGTAGCTGTAATGGTCACTTTTGTGCGAGCCCTGTAGGGTCGTCTGATGGTCTGAGGGGTCCCCTGGGGTCATGCCGATGCCGGAGTCGGTTCCGGTGGGTGCAGGTGGAGAACGGTTGCCCTCGGAGGAGAAGAGAGAGGCTCCGTCATTGAAAGGGTTGGAAGAGGACTTTGAGGAAAGGAGAGAGGTGTACAGATCACCCTCTACAGGAGATGACTTCATAAACATGTCAGATAGAGAGTCACCTAGAGAGACAGAGAGAAGGAGAGACGGTGTCATTAGTAACTGAAATCAAATCAATAAGTTCACATCCTGCCTTAAAAGCATGAGTTAACCGAAACCGAATCTGCCTGGATTCAACTTGAAGTTACCCTTTCTTTAAACTAACAAAAAGACAATAGTCAAGACAATACATTACTTCTGAAAACATATACACTTGAATTCGAAATTCATAACTTGAGACAAGTGCATTTAAGAAACAATTGAATGTAGGTATGATGTATTAGAGCATATATGTGCAAAGATTTAACTTTCAGTGTTTTCATGATTTTTTCATTCTAAAAGAATAGCAAATAGAATTGGCTAATGGCTATTCAACATCAAATATGACAGAAGAACACTTGTAAAAAGTAGTTAAAGCACATAGACATCTATAAGGCCTCTAATTACGACCAGCAGCTAGCTCTCTGCAACTCTCACCGTGCATTCACACTGGGCTTCAGCGTCAACACTTGACCGAGGGTGTGCTGGGGCTGATATGATCATCATAGCAGCGTCAGCCATTGAAATTAGTGCGCAATCGGCTACTGTTTAAGCTGGGTTATTTGCATAAAGAATCTGGTTGGCTGATGCTTCCGTTGGCGCTTAAAAAGTTGCGAAATCCCCTACTTCTGCAGCGTCGATGGACACACAGTTCAGTTCGGCAACACTTGACGTCACCAATTCAAAGTGAATGGGATGCGTTGACATGGGGCGTCACATGGTCACCCACTTAAGCTAAGCAGGGCTGCGCCCGGTCAATACCTGGATCGGAGACCACATGGGAAAACCAGGTTGCTGCCAGAAGTGGTGTTAGTAAGGCCAGCAGGGGGCGCTCAACCTGCAGTCTATGTGGGTCCTAACGCCCCAGTATAGTGAAGCAGACATTCCACTGCTCAGTGAGTGTCGTCTTTTGGATGAAACGTTAAATCGAGGTACCGACTTTCTGTGGTCGTTAAAAATTCCAAATTTGCCCACTGGTTTTTGTCCATCATGGCCTCCTAACCATCCCCATATCATAATTGGCTTCAAAATTGGCTTCACTCTGCGGTCTGGTGCAATATGGCTGCTGTTGAGTCATCCAGGTGGATGCTGTACACTGGTGGTGGATAAGGAGATTTCCCCCAAAAATGTGTAAGACACTTTGAGAGTCCAGAAATGCACTAAATCTAAATGTAAGGAATTATTATTATTATTATTATTTAAAAACAGCAGAAACCCTGCAGAGACTGTGCAGAGGTCAGATTTACTACATTGAGTGCATATGCAGTACAATATATGAAGTGAAGACAAAGGCAAGAGACAAAGGCAGTTTTACAAAGAGATAATAGACAAAAGGACAGAGAGTAGAAAGAATCTACACAGAGAAACAACATTGATTCTTTTTTGTGAAGTACTGTAAATGTGATTCCCACTGGACTGAGAGGAAGAGCAGATGGAAAAGGCAGAGCCCTCAGAGACAGCTGGAAACATCTGCTCATCTCTGTAAAATCATTCAAGTCTTAAGAGGATTAATGATAGCTGGACAACGAACCCTGTGACTGTTACATCTCCAATAACAAGCGCACACTTAGGTTTAATTCCCATCAGCTGGTGCTAAAATTACAGTGGGTAATAAGATCATAATGGTCCAATGGCAAGGTTCTGATTCCAAAGCTTCAAGACCAAACTCCCTTGCAGTCTATACAGATAGCTATCTTTTAAAGCAGCATACTTGTGTTTTGTTGTTAGACAACACACACACACACACACACACACAAACACACACACACACACGCACGCACGCACACACACACACACACACACACACACACACACACACACACACACACACACACACACACACACACACACACACACACACACACACACACAAACAAAAAAACAAAGTATGAGGTAAAATATGAAATTATGTAATTTTTATCTAAATAACAGAAATGTATGTTTGGTAAATGAAATAAAGCTAGAAAAAAAAGAAAAATATTAGATGAAATAAAAGATAGGCCACGCGATGGCGCAGTAGGTAGTGCTGTCGCCTCACAGCAAGAAGGTCGCTGATTTGAGCCTCGGCTGGGTCAGTTGGCATTTCTGTGTTGAGTTTGCATGTTCTCCCTGGGTTTCCTCCGGGTGCTCAGGTTTTCCCCACAGTCGTAGGCATGTGGTACAGGTGAATTGGGTACGCTAAAAATTGTCCGTAGTGTGTCTGTGTGTGTGTGTGTGTTTGTGTGTGAATGAGAGTGTATGAATGTTTCCCAGTGATGGGTTGTGGCTGGAAGGGGGTCCGTTGCATAAAACATATGCTGCATAAGCTGATGGTTCAGTGCGCTGTGGCAACCCCAGGTTAATAAAGAGACTAAGCCGAAAAGAAAATGAATGAATGAATGAAATAAAAGATAGAAATGTTATTGGCAACTAGCTGAATTTCTAACACTCAAAATGAAGTAATATGAATACTGTATCAGGAATACTTAATCAACACTGGGATATAAAATAGTAGCATGTACAGTTAGAAACCACCTTTTTTGGTAGTGAATTAAATGTAAGTACAGTTGTTGAAAGTACTTTACGAGTACTTTAGGAATTCCTTCATTTTTATTTGTGTGCTAAATGTGTAAATACCAGATACATTTCCAATGTGTTGTGTATTAGCAACACTAAACAGAAGTAAATCAGAAATATGAGAGATAAATATAGGACCCCTCCTTCTCTGTTTTAAAGGGCACCTATTTTTTACAAGATGTAAAATAAGCCTTTGGTGTCTCCAGAATGTGTCTGTAAAGTTTCAGATCAAAACACCCATAAGATTATTTATTATAGCCTCCACAATCTTCCCATTTTAGTCTATAATATGTTTGTAGCTGTTTTTGTAGCATGTGGCTTTAAATCCAAACGAGCTGCTTCTCCCTGCCCACCGTTCCCGCGTGCCTGTCTGCTTCTTATCATGCGTTACGTCAGATAAACAGCAGTGTCAGAGACAGACTCGGATGAAGCTGAAATATAGCTCATTAGTCAGAAATACCAAGTACGTTTATTTCATGTATTGTGATGGTTTCTATTCAAGCTTTTCTGAAATGATGAGTCTCATACAAATGCTGTTTGCAGTACACACTCTCACACACACATACACATATTAGCATTTATTGACACCATGCGGCCGTGGTGATTATAGCAGTTAAGAATTACATAGCAATTTTACTTACTTTATTACAAACACACTCTGTTTTAAAAACCGCACTCCTACGTCACATTGCGGTGGGCCTCAAAATTACTGGGATTTGGGTATAACTTTAAGGTAACTTTAAGGAATTTTTTAAAAAGAGACTTTTGTTTATATGACTCCAATATGACAGCGGACACTAAACATGCACACAGTTCTGTACAAACAGCTTACAAAAGTTGATTTTCAACACAGGTGCCCTTTAACAGACTGCAGGACTGATGCACATTTGAACCTTTATTCGTTTATAAAAGGATGGGCAGTATTTACGATACATGTATTTTAAATGCATATTTTAAATACAAAACAGCATTTTGTAATTTGTATTTTATGGGGTTTATGAAAATTGATCAATATTTTGTATCAAAATATTTCAGTGTTCTGTATTTTGCATTTAAAAAATACTGTAAAAGACTTTGTAATAAAAAGTCTACATGATGACATCATAAAAATGCTTGCCAAGGCTTGAGATCAGACTAGAAAATTTATTAATATTGAAGTTAATCAAATGCTTGAAATATGGAAGGCAACACACATAAAGGAAAACACTGACAAATGGCATGGGTATATTTAGGATCAAGTCAACAATCATTGCAAATAGTAAACTACACAATGCCAATACCTGATCAATTTATAATGGCAGTATTGTACAATTCAGCTTCAGTCTCTGTTTAAGAAATTATATGGAATATAATATCGGTCCTTAAGAACAGGATGAGGAGCCTTCAGCACATAATCACTCTCAGTCTCAGGGCTGCAAGTGGAAATGTAGAGGAACTTTAGATAGAAAGATATAAATCACCTAAAGATGCTGTTCACTAAGGGGGTAAAGTGAGACTCTAGAAGTTAAAGAAGAACTGAAAAAAATCTTGAGAGAGTGAGTAAACTACACAAATAATGGTAATTAAGTATTTAAAATTTCAATTGCAAAAAAATATGTGAACAAAAATGTATATAACCTCTTCATATATCACCCTTTTAAAATATAAGCGTGTTAAGAGATGGTTTCAATTTTACTGACCAGACAATGGATGGAAAGGAATCACAATGAAGAGATACAGTACTACTGTATACTCCAACTCATTATCTGCATTACATGGTTTTGACAGTGATTATAGAGAAAGCACTTTCTGTATGAAATTTGTACAAAATGTATACTAAAATGAAAGAGAAAGAAATGTCTATGAATACCTACTTATGTACAGGCGTAGAGATGAATGAGTTTGCAGAGAATCTGATTTAAAACTTGCTCAGAGAAATGCTGCTGCTATCAAGCAGTCTGTTTAATGGTGAGGGGATAGATCTAATAGGCCTTTTGAAGGTTTGCAAAGAATTGTCATGCTCCCTTTTAAATTATTTTGCAGTACTTTTAAAATACAAAATACAGTTTTTTATTTTGCTACATTTCTGGCTGCTGTATTTCGTAGTTTATTTTGATACACTTGAAATTGATGTATTTGGTATTTTAGTTTAAAATACATTTCAGTGTATTTTTGCCCATTCCTGCATTTACAGACCAAAATGTGCAAAACTAAAAAAGAATCTTTTTTGTCTAAGTTGTTTCATAGGTGTACCTAAATTGAGTACAGCATACTAAATGGACTATTTCAGCCATATCTTTATATAGTAAAAAGCATGCTATTCTGAATTCAGCCTGAGACTGTATTATGTCATTTGCGGTGCTGGGAGTAGGCGGTCACCGCTGAGCTCTTTTGGCACGATTTACATTTCCATGGTAACAGCAACTGCTCTGATTGGTCTAGGATTATT